AGTTTATACGTAAAAGCTCCATAATCCAGCATATTATGCTGAAACTTTCAGTGTGCTGAGTTCCAACATAATATGCTGGAAGTTTATACGTAAAAGCTCCATAATGCATCATATTATGCTGTAACTTTTCGTGTTTCAGCAAAACATTGGCTATTTTTAATGATTTTGTAAACGCTGACTATTTTTCGATTATTAGACCAAAAACTGGTTAGCCCGTGCTATTTATGTGAGGCATTACTAGTACTATTAATAGCCGTGGACCAAGGGCGGCCCTTATCCTTTTCTTCTCCTAACTCCTTGCGTTATACGTGAAAATCTAAAAAAATAAAATTAGGATAAGTCTCTCACGTAATAGGTGAGGATTTCACTTTCATACAATAGTTCTTTTTTTCCTTTCTCTTATCTAATTTCTTTGGGCCGTTTGATTTGGGAATAAGTTATATTGGTATTAGAAAGTAAAGGATTATAATATGAAAATTACGTAGTTGATTCATTAAACTAAAAATGAGATATACGCACACATGTTTTACATTAGATAAAGTTGAACCGTGGACTCAATAGCTCCCATCATAGAGAAGCAGCAACGCAGTAGAAGAATGCACAAGTGAAGTGGCTATTTTTTATATTATCAAATGTTGGCTATGTTTTAAATAGCACCATTAAGGTTTAAAAGTGGCTAGCTAATGTCATTTATACAGCAAAACAAATGATATGGGCTTGGATCATTAACGTAGCGTCTCATTCAAGGTCCAACATTGTCTAACATTTTTATGATTTTTTCTAGTTCAGTGGTATATGAGGGGCATTTGCATCTATGCTCATTCGCGGGGTCATCATTGAACTTATACCAACTTTACACGAAAATTTGCAAGTCTAACCACTTTAGAATCAACTCCAGACTTATCGGGTCTGAAGTTGAAGAAATAAAAAAGTCTGAAGTGCAATGCACTTAAGGCCAAGTAAGTTCAAAGTGCAACAATTACACTTAAGATGCACTTAAGGCCAAATAGGTCTGAAGTGCAACAAATGTTTTCATGCAGTTAAGATCAAATATGTCTGAAATGAAAAAATTGCACTTAAGATGAACTTAAGACCAGATACATCTGAAGTGCAATAATGTTTTCATGCGCTTACGGCCAAATAAGTATGGAGTAGGGGTGGGCGTTCGGTACTTCGGTTCGGTATTTAATAACTACGGTTCGGTATATCAATTGTGTGTATCAAATACCGTACCAAAATAGGGTTCGATATTTTCTTATTTGGTTCGGTACGGTTTCGGTATCATACCAAAGTCTTTCAATGTAACTAAAATTAATTAACTACATCAATGTATAGTAGTCACTGCTCCTCAAGTGTATAGCTAGAAAATAAATTGTGTATTATCCTGTATACAGAATTTTAAACTATATAGACCAATGTGATGTTGTGAACTACTCCCCGTGATAACTGAGAATAGAAAATGGAAAACTATGGTGCAAACGAAGGAAGTGCAAATAATCAATGATTCATTTGTCGAACTCCCAAATGACTCCTCCATCCTCTGCAATTACAAGGTCAAATAACTTAAAAGACAAACCAACAAAAACAGAGTAAAAAATAAAAATGTATAAATTGAAAATTAAAATCAAACAAATGCTATGGCACATTGAAGAGTAGTGGGATGTTTGGAAAGCTGAATATGTTTTCCTTGACAGTTGACACTGAGCCTTCACAAACAAATATACCCATAATGTATGAGGGAAAGTCTTTGAAGCTTGAATAGTGTAGCTCTTGAGAAGCTTGAACAGTGATGTTATTACATTAGAAAAGCTTGAACAAACTTAATACCACATTACCAAACACATAAAATAGTAAACTACAACGGATCAACCAAACATAAAACACCTGCCAAACAACAAACTTAATACCATATTACCGAGGAGAGGAGTGTCGTCGCCGCTCGCCGAGGTGGTGAAGTCGTCGTCGCCCTATGCTATTGTAGTCATGAATCAGCAGCAGCCAAGCAATGTTGTATTTTTTTTTTATAGAGAAATCTAGGGTTAGAAAAATAGAAAAGGGAATAAGGGTAAGCAGATACTGCCCGTAAGTGATAAGTCTACTTGAGCGCTAAGGATTAGGGAATTAGGGGGAGCTGGAAAATAAAAATATAGCTGGGTTTGGACTTAAATATTTCAGTATTTCGATATTTCGGTATACCGAGATATCAAAAACTCAATACCGTATATCGTACCAAAATACAGAAATACCGAAATTTTTGTACCGAAATATAGTGAAATACCGAAAAAATCGAAACCGAAATACCAAATTAATTCGGTTCGGTTCAGAATTTAATTTTTCGTATTTTATGCTCACCCCTAGTATGTAGTGCAAGTTGCCCATAAATAGAAATTTGTTCTTCGAATTTCAACAAGATTAATTTTCAGAAACCACTATTTTTAGTGCATATTAACTTCCTATAGCTATCATATACATAATTACATCCTATAACTACTATTCAGTTGTTACGGTAGTGTATTCACTGTATTCACGCTATTGTATTCATGAATATAGCAGCAAAAAGTGGCAAAAAAATCAGGGCAGTCCAGTTGTACGCGCATGTATTCACATGTATTCGCGCCATGTATTCACGAATACATCAGCAAAAAGCGCCTAAAACCAGGACAGTCCAGTTGTACGCACATGTATTCACATGTATTCGTGCTACTGTATTCATGAATACAACAGTAAAAAATCGCCTAAAGTAAGGGCAATCCAATTGTACGCGCATGTATTCACACCATGTATTCATGAATACAGCAGCAAAAAGCGCCTAAAATCATGTAGTCCAACTGTACGCGCATGTATTCACATTTATTCGCGCTGCTGTATTCATGAATACAATAGTAAAAACGCCTAAAATCAGGGCAGACCAATTATACGTGCATGTATTCACATGTATTCGCGCCATGTATTCATGAATACAGCAACAACAATCACCTTAAAAATAGGTATGTCTAGCTGTCTAAGAGAGAGGAAAAACATAAATAGCGTATTTCATGCCTTAATGGTAGTATATACTAAAAATACTTATTCTGCTATAAAATATAAAAGATATCTATAAAAAAAATAATATTTTAAAATAATTCCGGTTTATAATAAATAGGGTGTATACCTTTACTATAGGAGGTAAAATTTTCTTTCAACAATATAATACGCGATTTAACACCTAATTCTACTCCTAATAATCTCAAATTTGAAACATAACCTCCAACTATCATAAAAAATACCCCACAAGCATCAATTTGTCAAACAAATAATAGATCCAACAAACTCATTTTGTAATTAAGAAAAAAGAGAAGAAACCATAAGCAATAGCAAAGAAAAGAGCGCCACGGCAGTTCACTACTGTAAAACCTACTCACAAACAACATGTAAACTCAACGTCACCTTTGTTTTCACTACTACTAAGAAGAAGAAGAAGGAGGAGGAAGAGGAAAAGACCTGAAATTGTCTGTACTCTGGATACTAATTAAAAATTTTAAAAAAATAAAATACAATAAGTAACATTGTTTGTGATTTAAATTTGTGATTTAAAAAAAAAATAAGATACAAAAAAAATTAAAACGAGTACGAGTTAAATTTGTGATTAATATAAGTAACATTGTTTTTACCATACGGTGATCAATAATAAGATACAATAAGTAACATTGTTTTCGTCTTCCATGATTAATATAATTAGTTATTTCTTTTAGTTTTTTTATTTCCCAAAAATAATTACAGATGTATGATTTATTAAAAATATTCCACATATGTATCATTGCCTACATATGAATCTCAGTATTTACTGTTCTTGATTACTTGCCATGAATAGTAGGATTCTTTGACCAGAGTATTTCATCTTGTTAAAATCCACAAATATATTAAATAATAATGAAAGTTCTATAATGGTGACAATGTGAAACGTGAAAAAAGGTTAAGAAAGTGGTCGGTGATAAATTGACAATAACCAAGAAATGAAAAATAGACCATTGGTAGGAGAAATTGTATAAAATCACAAAGACTGCCTTAGTAGAGGATTTAGATCATCGGTGACACGTACTAGAAAAAAAACCCCCTCTTAAAGTATTTATAGATCTCGTGGAAATGTTTATAATATAATTATAGATGGTAGTAAAAACTTTTTTGGGAAAACATGTCAACCACTTTATCAATTTTTGTCACAACATAGTATATTTTAAATATAAAACACCAGTTGTTAGGTCGATCTATAGCATTTGGTTAGGTTTAATCGGTATACGACATAAGGTATGAAGTGAAGAATACGACAAATAATGTTTTGTTAGTCATTTTTGCTCGTTCTTTGATCAGTACCTCTCGTTCACTAGGTAGTGCTTATGTAAAAAATAACATTACTGGTCGAATTTTGACGACAAATCTGAGCATCAATGTCTCGTATGATCGCCTTTTAAAATATAGATCCTTAATCACAAATGCTCGTTAGTGGACCGTGGACACTCAAAAATGATACTTATAATTGCTCGACCGTCAACCCTTAGTTACAAACTTAAGGCGATCACGGATTTTGAACCGTATATTTATAGTTATGAAAGTCAGTTTCTCATATTTAAAAAAAAAATATTTTCAATAATTTTAGCCAATCAACAATAAAAGATAATTTACAAGGGAACATCATATGTCATTACCAAAGATTTATTACTCATATTGTTATTAATTCCAATTTCAATGTTTTATGTCAAACTTACATACAATAGAGTGGAATGGAACAAAATCAATCAGCACCATTCATCAAAGCATTATCTTGTGATCCTTTGAATTTGAAACAAGTTGCATAAAATCAATGGTTGGATTTATCTTATAAGATGAGATGTGGTGGGGCCAAAGCATAGGCGTGCATGCACACAACACAAACATTAGCAATCTGAACTATTGCTAAGGATTTTTCCAGTAAGTATATAAAGTATATATTTCACAAAGCAATCTCTTCCAAATTTATCAGATCAAATCACACCAAAATTTTCTTTTGTTTTCCTTTCTCCTTTACTACCACATATTCTTCTTACCAAAAAAAATAAAAAAGATAAAAAATTATATAAAAAAATTTAAGGCTAGAAACAATCTTTTTTCTTAGCTGAACATAAAATTGTAGTATTCAAAATTGTTAGTACTACATATATTGATTGGAAAGATTGGAAAGAGAAGAGAAAAGAGTGGGGGACACAAAGTTGAAGGGGCAAAAAAAATTATAGAACAACGCCCTACTTTCCCCCTTCTCATCTCTTAGATCTTACTGTTTTCTCATCTGGGTCGTCTGATTCTTGATTTGGGTATTCATTTTTTCTCCTCAATTATCTTTTTACAATTATATTGCTGTTGTTTTGATTAAATGAAACCAACCATTTTCATTTGTTGGGTTGTTGTGTTTTGATTCTGAATTTTGATTGATCGTCTAAAGATCCGATTTTTATTTATTGAATCTGATAATGTCCGATTGGTTTAAGGTTGTCAAAGTACTTTATTCATTGTAAAGGTGTGAGCTTTATTAGTTTTATCAATCTGCATTTCATCTAATCAACTGGGAATTGAAAAAGTGAATCTTGATGTGTGTATTAATATGAGAAAATGGAAGTTTTTTAAAGCTTTAATTGGAACATTGTAGAATGATGATTGTGTAATTTGGAGATTGAGTTTTTTCAGGAATTTGATTTCTGGTTTTGTTAGGACAATGCAATCTGATCTTGGCAAATTATTCATTGGTGGAATTTCATGGGACACGAATGAAGAGCGTCTGAAGGAGTATTTCAGTACTTATGGTGAGGTTTTAGAGGCTGTAATTATGAAGGATAGGACTACTGGTCGTGCCCGTGGTTTTGGCTTTATTGTCTTTGCTGATCCTGCTGTTGCTGATCGGGTTATCAAGGAGAAACACAACATTGATGGCAGGATGGTAAATTTTCCTAGTTTTGCAAATTTGGCTTTACTGTTAGTTCTTTTTGATTTATTCAACAAGGAACGTAATGTTGTTGTTTGAACCTTCTGATAAGAATATACTTTTGTATGACGCCTAAAATCAAGGGAAGTATGTCATTGCAATGGAGATTTAGGCATCTATCATTTAATATCTAAGCCTTCTTGGTACCGATGGCATTTAACGTTGTATGGCGCCTAAAATCAAGGAAGTATGACATTGTAATGAAGATTTAGGCATTTAGGCCTTCTTAGTACCCATGGTATTTAGCATTGTATGACACCTAAAATTAAGGGAATTCTGACATTGTAGCGGATATTTAAACATTTAGCATTGTATATTTCTAAGCCTTCTTGGTACCCATGTCATTATACCTTGCACACTAAAACTGGCACATTGTACCCATTTTATGGCATATCACATATGCAATTAACTTTGCTACCCTCTACTTTGATTTGAACTTAGACTGGAATAGCAGTTAAAGTTTACAGTCTAATTACTTCTTTCTACTGAAATTTATCATGGTCCACTTATTTTTCAGGTTGAAGCGAAGAAAGCTGTTCCGAGGGATGACCAGAGCACAATAAGTAGAAGCAGTACTAGCATTCAGGGTTCTCCTGGTCCAGGACGTACAAGAAAAATCTTTGTTGGAGGTTTAGCATCCACTGTAACTGAGAGTGACTTCAAGACCTACTTTGAGCAATTTGGAACAATCACAGATGTAGTGGTTATGTACGACCATAACACTCAGAGACCAAGAGGCTTTGGGTTCATAACCTATGATTCAGAGGATGCAGTGGATAAAGTATTGCTTAAGACCTTCCATGAGCTGAATGGTAAAATGGTTGAGGTCAAGCGTGCTGTCCCCAAAGAGTTATCGCCAGGTCCAAGACTTGGTGGCTACAATAACTTTCCATTAAGTAGGATCAATAACTTCCTTAATGGTTACACACAAGGATACTCTCCGAATACAGTTGGAGGATATGGAGTCAGAATGGACGGTAGATTTAGCCCCATTGCTGCTGGAGGTAGGAGTGGTTTTGCTCCATTTGGTTCTGGTTATGGAATGGGTCTTAATTTTGAACCAGGGTTAAGCCCAGGATATGGGGGAAATGCAAACTTCAACAGCAGCTTGAGCTACGGTCGAGGACTGAGCCCTTATTACGTTAATAGTTCGAATAGATTTGGTGGTCCTATTGGTTTTGAGGGGGGAAATGGAGGAAATAGCTCATTCTTCAGCTCAGCAACTCGGAATTTGTGGGGAAATGGGGGACTGGGGTATGGAACTAATTCCACAAGCTCTACCAACTTTGCGGTATCTGGGAGTGGGAACATGGGGTCTGGAAATTTTAGCAACACTGGAGTTTGGGGATCATCTTCAATTTCATCCCAAGGTGGAGGAAATGTTTCTAACCAAAGTGGTAATCTTGGTTATGGGGGTGATGATAGTTTATATGGTTTGGCTGGAGGCTATGGAAGAAATGTTACAACAAGCGGGGCTCCTGCATCATCATATCCTGCATCTAATGGTAGCTATGATGGGGCTCTTGCTGATCTTTACAGTGGTGGTTTGGGATATAGTGATTCCGCTTGGCGCTCTGCAAATTCTGAGCGAGATGGATCTGGTTCAATTGGTTATGGACTCGGTACTGCACCGTCGGATATGCCACCTAAAAGTTCAGCTAGTTATGTTGGCGGTTATGGTGTTGGTAAAAGACAGACAAACAGAGGTAAGCTTCTCAATAACCTTTTGTAGCTAGTAGTTGCTTCACCTTGCTCAATTCCTTTAATTTTCTAATGAACATTGATCCGGATGTTGGTGGTCGGTTTTGTTAACTTGATTTTGTTGATACAATAATTTGCCATTAGGAGCAGGTGATTTAATGTTTCCCCCCTCTTTACTTGCTATCTTGGTCCTTACATTTTTCTGATCTACTCGAGTTTGTTATCAAGGTTTTTCTTTTCGAAACTAACTGGGGAAGTCATTATAGGGGTTCTCTCTGTAGAGAAGCATCTTTCATACTTGCACATAAGATGTGATATCTAGCTATTTTACTTCTGCATCAAGTTCTTTATCTAGAGCATGCTTGTGCTTCGGATTTTTTGTTTACTCATTTTGAAACCTGCATATGAAGTAGAAGCAACATTGCAAGTCGATTTGCATAATTCCATTTACCTAAAGGAAAGTGAGTCTTATTTCGTTTTCAAGTTATGGTCAATTAAAGCAAGAAAAGAACTCTGAGAATTAGTTGGACAATTGATAGAAGGAAGCATAAAAGGAGCTACAAGTTGGCTATTTCTGGTTTATTTTAGCTTGCTTAAAATCTATCCAGGTATTACTAAAAGCGTTTGCTTCACTGATTAAAGTGACAAAGTAATATAACGCGAGTGATGTGACTTTGAAGGAGCTTACCGTTTGAACTTTAGGCGCAAAACAATGTTGAGTTAGAAACAATTGCTTCTTTCAATGCGGCTTTCAAAAATGAAAAAGAGAGAAAGGTAGAACAAAAGATATGCTTCTATCCTCGTGGGCGCACAAAACAGAAACTGAAAATACTAGGCTAATCCGCAGGTCTTTACATTGTTCGGCCAATTCGTACACTTTCCTATTCCTCTATTTCCAGATTGCGTATATGAGATCCAGAGGGGCAACAACCCATTCCTTGGGCCTTCTCTTCCTTTTCCTGAAAGCCAACTATACAATGCTCCCTTTACTGTGCTTGACATCACCCATTGTACTCCGAACCAATTCAAGATCTTCCACCGCAAAGTCGTTTCCACATGACAATGCAAGAAGAGGTGATTTACATCTTCTTCCGATCATCACATAAAACACCACCTAACATGTGTAATCCACCTGTTTCTCCAGTTATCGGCTTTCAAGATGGTTTCCCTAGTTGCTAACCACTTACAAAAACACTTTGTTTTAGGCGCCTTGGGTATCCATACCGATGAATGTGATAAAGCTAATTCCTCCCTCACCAACAGTTTCTGGTAGTAAGCTTTAATTGATAACATCCCATCTCTCCTTGTGCCCCATCTCGTAACTGTGAGATACGCTCTGCTTGTGAAGTAGTTCCACTAGACTTTGGATGCACCCATTTTCCAATCTTGTAAGTTCCGTCTAAATGTTAGATCCTATAGAACTACTAGTTCTTGTAATTAGTGTAAGGTTTGTAGCATTGACACATTGTGTGAGATGAATAAGTTTGACAAGCTCGTCTGGAAGCTATTTTTGAGTTCTGCTGCCACAAAGATTTTTTTTGCAGTTCTTCACATTATGGTTCTCGGACATAGGTTAATTTATTTTTCGAAAAGAAAATTCACTTTTTTTGAATGTTTGTGGAAGTACTATAAATTGTGATGTTTTCCATGTCAAAATGACAAAAGAACACATTTAAAAATAATAGTCAAAGATTACTTTCTTAGCTCCACAGAAGCAAAAATTGGGCACCATTTTCTCCTAAGTGAAGGTTGAATCTCTAGTGCGGGAGATGTTTCTTGAAAGGCTTTCTGAGGTCCATTGGTGATTGGACCAAAGCCAGTAACAACACTTTTATGTTCAGGTAGATTGAGCATTATCACTGATCGAGCACCAACCTTTTCAAGTTGTGGTCAGCTCAAAATTTTAGAAGCAGTTCTTCCATAATGAAAATTTCATGCGCAATTTTAAATGCCCATGTACTTCATTTATGTGAGAGACCTCTACTATTGATTTAGCTTATGTTCTGTTAGAAACCTCTTTGTCTTCGCTTTTAAGTTATGATCTTATGATGTCAATATATTTTATATGATTTTTGTTACATAATCTTCTGATCCTAGAAGTTGCAAATATTGACATATTTTATCATGTGTTAGCTTTTGGAATTCTTAAAATTCAAATACCAGCTTAATGCTAGTCTGCCAAATGTTTGTTTGCTGTGTTTGAAGATAACTGATTGATGTTATTGCATCGTACAAACCTTAGCCCCAGTAGGGAAGAAAAGAATAGAGGAAAAAAGCTGCCAAATCAATTATATATACTCAAATTACTGACACATACTATTTCCGAATTTACTGAGCTAAAACTAGTAACATCGGTGATACTTTGATGTTCTAAAATTTGTGATGCTATGTGGTGAAGTGATATTCGTGGATAGAGCTTGTGATGCATTACCATTTGTAATTGCAATAGTTTTTAGGTTGACAAATAAACCTTCATTTCTCTTGCTCAACATCACAGTCTTTTTCTAGTTTACCTCCATCTTTGACCTCTTTGTTGTGATCATCTTTTCTATAAGTTGATGACCAGTTAGTTTTTATGAAGCCTAATTGCTCAGTGAAAGCTAGAAGCAATTTTTTTTTTTGAATTGTCGTGATCATCTTTTTTTGAAGCTAGAAGCATTTAGTTGATTTAAGTTATATAGTGTGAAGATTTTTTACACTATCAATGTAGTTTAACATGTTATAGCGGGTTAGTTCACGTCTTTACCTGATTGACAGTTAATGCTTATCATAGAGATTTACATGTACTTACCTTTTAAGTGACCTAATTATGTAAATGTTCATAGAATTTAAAGTCTAGTGTTGATAAAGGCTCGCTTAAAGCACGGGTAAGCCCTGAAGATCGGTGAAGCCCAGTGTGTGCGCTTTGCCTCGCGTAAGTGGCACTCTAGTGTAGGCGTAAAGGTGTTAAGGCGTGTGCACCTTCCCCGATGGGTTATGTCTTTAAGGGAGCAACAATATATATGTAGCTAAATTATCGTTTTATCATTTTTTTTGCCCAAATAGTTATTGTTTGTGTTATAGTTACGTTTTCTTGCATTACATTTCTATTTTATTTAATCTTCGTTTGTGCTTTCTTCGCTAAAGCCCACACTTCAATTACGCTTTGCGCTTAAAGCTCTAACATAGATTGGCGCTTTATTGAGTTCTTCACTTTTGACTACTCTGACTTAAACTCTTTTTTGATATCTTTTGTCTCCTAAACTTGTCAAAATGAAAAATCCAATAGATTTCTTCTCTTCCTCACAGTAGTCAGTTTCCTCATGTGGTGTTGTCTGATACTACAAAGGTGGTGCTTTTGTCTCTTGACCAATAATACTACTCCCTCTCCCGATTTATGTGATACACCTACCTTTTTAGTCGAACGGTACTTTTCTATATTTAGAAATAATTTAACTTTAAACATCTCATTTTACCCTTAGTTAGATGATTTATAGACACACAAATATCTATGCCTTTTTTTAGATCACAAGTTTCAAAAGTCTATCTTTCTTTCTTAAATTCTGTGCCCAGTCAAACAACATCACATCGAATGGGATGGAGGGACTACTTATTTGTGGGCATCTTCATGAATAAATAATGACTTGTGAATATATGGATATGAGAACAGCTTGAAAGAATATTTGTTCGTGCCTTCCCTACCATGTTTTTTTTTTATACTAGAGGAAAAGATTTTATTAGTATAAAAATTATAGTCCCTCCTGTAGTGGTGTTAGGAATTCTATCAACATGACTGCTTCATATATATTCCTGAGGTTGTACCACCTAACTAACTAAACACTTGACTTCTCTCTTTCCACGTAACCCACAAAACAACGGCAGTACAGTGATCCATATCTTCTTTCACATTCTGAAGATGTTTAGAAAAACCTTTATTTTATATTGATTTCTTTTATAACTGAGAAATCCACTGTTTCTAGCTTTGAATGGGCGCCTTACGACTTCTCCACTTAAATACTAGGGCTTGGTGCACTGGTCAATATTTAAGCTCGTGACATGGGCCTACTCCTCATCCTGCTCTATAATACCTTCGCTGTAAAATTACCTTTATAACTGTGAGATGATAGGCGATGCAAAAATAAATGATCAGGTGTTTCACTTAGATTTCGAATAGCGGTCTTCCATCAATCAAATCACCTTTTTGAGAAATACACCGTCAGAGCTCCTTTCACTCAGGTAGCATTTGATGCAAAGTGCGCTCTTTCTTCTCTGCAAATTCTTGTTTCAAAAGGCATCATGAGCAACCACCAAGATGAAACAATCAAGGAACCTTAGTTGGGGCTTTAGTTTCCTGATAATCTTCCACGATTCTGTTCGGTACTTGGAGAGGTAATGAGGGACTTATAACATGACTTGACTGAGAGAATTCTATCTTTCTGCTCAGACCATACCAGTATGCTGTCTATTTCCCAGTCTAAAAAGTCTCCTAAACAGACTTCCCAGCCATTAGCAGTAAAGCAATGAGCTACAGCTGTCTCCATGTTTGCGCCAAACGTGAATAAATCAGGGAATTCTTTTCTATTTCCTACTCTGAAGTGAGTCTTTTCAGCGAATTTATATCGTCATAGATTTCTAAAAAACTTCCATATTCCAACCCCATAAGAACCAATGCCAGTCACATCAAGCACAATGGTTCTGAGAGCTAACCTTTGCTTGAATCGCTCCAGAGGCATCTCTTCTTCTCTGCTGTATCCCAAAAACAAGTTGAATAACATGTTTTTATTGTGAGCCCTCAGAATTTTGACCCTTACTCCTCCTTCCATCTTGCTTAATGTGACAGAATATCGTCAGATTAACTGGAGAGATATGTTCTCCTTAATCTGTCCATCCCTTTTCCATTGTTGCTGGAATGGCAGCAGGGACATCACGTATGTGGGTAGGGAATCTAGAACACTGTTAGTAAGTGTCTGCCATCTAAGGATACATATTTCTTTTTCCAGTTTGAAGGATTTTTTCCACTTTCTCAAATACTTGCCATCCTTTTGTTATTTTATAGCTTACACCGAGGCATTCAGTATTTGGTGTGTGTGTTTGGGAGGGGGCGGGGACCCTAACCTGAAGCCTGTATTGACCGGGCAATGGACATAAGGGGGCTCTATTTTCTGTGACTCCACAATTGCTTTTTTTTTTGTTGCACACTCATCCGACTAGAAAAAACTAGTACTTGCGTCATGTTTTCTTTTCTCAAACTATATACCATGTTCGAGAGAAAGAGAATAAAGATACTGTCCGGAAGCAATAATGCTTCATGATACATGGCTGCGAGATCATTGGACATTCTACATTTGCGAACTATCACTTTTTTTTAAAGATCCAGGGAAGTGTTATAACATACACAACAATTTAGAAGAAACAAAATAAATTCAAAGACCAACAAAGATTGTGATGGAGTGATAAGTTCTCCTTCATCCTTAACCATGTCTCTAGTTCGAGCCCTTAGTATAAAGTTGTCTTTGTTAGGGAGCGCTTTACCCCCCAATGTGGGGCTTCCCGGCGTGAACCCAGATTTAGTCGGGTCCTTAATGTGTGTACCGGACACCGAGTGGGAAACCAAAAAAAGAGAAAAGAATCAAAGATTTGACTTGAATATTGTTAACCTTGTTGATAGTTACTGGAGCAAATAGAAGTTCTTTTTGCTTAACATTGTTTGTTTTTCTACATTATTTAGATGCTAGTTCTTTCTTGCTATTTTTCTCGGAATGAAATTGTCCGTGTGAATAAGTTAATGGTAAGTCTAACAAAGCTTTTCAAAGTAGAAATATGGTAGTTACTTTCTCAATTTTTGGTTATTACTTTTCTGCTTGGTGCCTAATACTGTCTGATCTAAAAGATTTCGTTAGTTCCCTCTTCCCGCTTGTTGCATATGTATCTCCCCCTCTTCTTTCTTGTTTATACTTTCACTTATTTGTTGCTTATGATGTCAAAGTCAAATCATGCTATTCTTAACCCGCTGATTTTGTATTGATGCAGGGATTGGTGGCTAGGAGAATATTGCCAAACAAGGGTGTTACATTAGGTGAAAAATTTGGTGTAGAATCTGAATCATGAATTTTGCATACTTCTATAATTATATGAAGTTGAGAGAGGTTAAAGAATTGGATATCCTTTTGTAGGGCTAACTGGAGTGCCTGTTTTGAAGGTCTAGAGATAGAAGTTTACAAGATTTTGTGCTAAAGGTTTTTTTTGTTTTGTTTTGAGTTTATGTCTTTAGGAATTCCCCTTTCTTTTTCCCTTGAGTGAGGTGTAAAATCAGATTGCGGCGTATAGTCAGAAATGTATCATGCATCTCTGGTGAGGCAGCGATACATACACAACAAAATAGACAGAAGTTTTGAGTAAAATGTTTAGATTTAATGTTTTTTTCGCAGTAATGTTGCTGCAAAGTTGCAGATTCTTGTCTGGTAATTTGTTTGCTTTGTAGTTTTCCCTTGAATGGGATTTTTCCTTTCTCCATTTGAATGTAAGGGAGGTTGTTGATTTAGTGTGATACATTTTAGGGATACCCATCTAGGGTACCCCTAATGAATAAATTACTATATACTTTGATGCTCATTTACTTATTATCATTTGAATTGAGAATCTTGCACATATTGATGTACAGTATATATCATTCTGCTACAAATGAACCAAAAAATGCAACTTCTTTCTTTGAATGAAAAAATTCTAAGAAATTTAGAGAATGCCAAATTAATGTGTATTACAACTTTAAAAGTTTTTAAATTTCATGTGATATTTTCATTCCCTTTTTCACACTTTTGAAACATAATAATAACATTAAATTGAAATCAAGATCCATTTCGAGCACTTCGATCTCAAGTTTGTCATGGGCACAAACATTAAATCCATGTATATATATGGTTCACTCAAAACTCCAGATTTCGACACGATGAGTTTAAAAGAACACTCTGAATTAACAAAGTAAAAAAAGGGCAGATTGATGGACGAAACATCCCGCATTCATGCAGGGTCTGGGAAAAGCTGCACCCCAAAGGGTGTGATGTAGGCAACCTACCTCGGTTGTTGATTCCACCGCTCGAATCCTTGACCTATAGGTCACACGGATATAACTTTACTGTTGCTGCAAGGCTCCCCTTCTTGAATTAAGAGAGTGAAAATGCAAAAAGTTGGAACTTTAAACACGATAAGATTAAACAAAACATGGACACTTTAAGCAGGTAATGAAATTCTACCTTGTTAGTCATACAACATAAAAACATGCACAATTTCAGTGTTATCACCAAGTCTTGAACTAAGTGTTAGGAAATGAAAGATTCATAATTTCTTGAATGTTAGAAAAAGAAAGATGTAAAGACAGTGGATTGTTAATTGACAGGAACCAAGGAAAGGGTCACATTAAGTAACACAATTCATAATACAGAAAAGGCCGAAGTTCAAGGAAAACCTCTTCCTGATCATCCTAATTAAACTGGAAATATTTCAGACTATGCTCAACTACAAGCTAGTAAATTCAGGCAGATTAAAAATACAAGCAACTTCTTTTTGTGAACCTTTTCAAATGGAACTACAGTTCAGAAGAAGGCTCTGCTACCATAAAACACTCTTGGGCTTTGGCCGCTAGGACGCGCTTGTGGTTTCTCACTTGAACCGGAGCTCTCTGTGTTGTCATTTCCATTTTGGACGGCTGATCCACTTTCCATGTCCAGAGGAAGTTTCATCTTTGCTAGAGCTTCCGTGAATTGCTGCATGCTTTTCATATACATATCGACTATCTCTTGCTGCACAACCTTTTGCTCTGGTACAATGCTCACGTTGACAACTGGCGTTGTGAACGTGCTAGCAGCAACAGCAGGCATGGTGCTATCGACCTCTTTGGCACTGTCCTTACTACCATCCTTCAGAGGCAACACAGACTCCTCGCTCGGAGAGTTTGATGTTTGTTTGGTGTCACAAACAGATGATGAGTTTATTGGGATTGAGTTTGATCTCTCTAACTTCTTGATTTCAGTGGCAACTTGACCTTCAACAACCGCGCTTTCTGGTGTACGCTCAACATTCTCGGGAGAGATGTGATCACCATTTTCCGTGGAGTCAATATGCTCAGAGCTTTGACTATCCAATTCAGTGCAGGGAATTGAATAATACTCAGTAACCATTCTTTCATTTTCATTCACAATTTTGGGATCAGGGAATTCAATGTTAACCAATTCACAAGGAATACTGTCAGCGATTCCACGACCTTCGTCACAGTCATTTGCTGCAGCCAAAGAATGGCCTGGTGTGGAAATCTCTAAGACTTCTGGGGTTGCACCAGTATATGTTAGTGTCAATTGCACAAAACCGGATGGCGAATGGAAGAGATCACTCGACGACAAGGAGAATTCCTGTTCTAGCTTACCATTCTCAGCAAGAACATCACAAAGAGGAACTAAGGTAAATCCCAACAACTGGTCTTGCAAATAATTCTTAACCCTACTCATCATCCAAATCTCACATCTCACTGATGTTTCAACAGTCTTGACATTGAGTCGACGACTCTGATTAAAAACTGGATTCTTTCCCCCACCATTAATAGTATCGGTCGAAACTGTTTCTTCTGGATCATTAGTTAAGGAAATCTTGGCATACACATCTTGTTTATGATATATGCATATGTTATGAATATCTCTAGCTTGATGTACATAAACATCAAGAACCCCAATAGAATCAGATTTTGGTTTCAAAGGGTCATAAACAACAGGTGATTTTGCCATAGTAACTACTTTTTGAGGTTCCATTATTAAAAATGTTCACTTTTTTGAACTCACAAAATAAAGGTGCCAACTAGAATTGAAGGTGACCACAAGTATTCAAAAGTGAAAGCAACAGAATACTATTCAAAGGTACAAAAACAAACTGTTTCCTAAACCCCCCAGACGAAAAACAGAATTTCAAGACATACAAAAAACAGAAACACAAACCTTAGGAAAAATCACCTCCCCTTATACCATAAGCTGAATTTGGAAATTGGGAGAATTGGTTAGCACTTACCTATAAGAGAGCCAGAGCTGAACTTTGTCCCAACTTCCAACTTCAGATTCATTGCTTAAGTAAAAAAAGAAACTGATTTTGTGCAACAATTGTAGCACAACTAGCAGACCAAATCAAGAATTAAATATTGGGCGACTGTTTCTAAACTTTCTCTAGAGCCCCTCAAAAAACCAAAGACAGCATACCCAAGAAAGCAGCCAACTTTCTAATGGACACCAAATTCAAGAATTCAAAGCAAAAATTCAAGAAAAAGGGAGAATAAAAAGGTACCAATAATTCACAAGTATCTTGAAGATTACAGATAAATGTGAGGACAGAGAGAGAAAAGGGTATTAGGTATTTTTCTGATTTAGTACACTCCTTAAGGAGTATAAAGACAAAAAACTTTTTTTCTTTTTCTTGCTTGTTGTGTTTTTTTCTGCACAGAAGTCAATCTTTGAGTTTTGTGTGGAGCCTTGTGGCTGCTGCTACCTATAATATAGGTGGAGAGTGATGGCTAATAAAATTCATAGAACTGTCTGACTTCTGAACTGCAACTGTAGAGAGAATCCAGTTCTTGAAATAAAAGTCAATAGGTTTTGATTAATTATGAGTACTTGGAGCTTGTTACTTTTATACTGCTTTTGCAATAATGTTATGTACTCGAATGTTAGATTTTAATAACGGACCTTATTATTTTTTTTTATCAAAATAATAATGGACCTCTATTATTGAAATCTTTGAACTGTTACATTACTTTGACCTGACTGTTGACAATTTGACTACTAGTTCCAATGTGTGCGAAAATAATAACGTAATTTGCAAATTACTTCTCTTTTGTCTGGTCAACTGTCAGGGTATTTGGAAAAATAATACATATATTATCTTTGATATTATTAATATGCAATGTCTTTTAATCACTTTATTCGGTATTACTTTTATACATAACAAAACATAGCATTAACAATACTATAATTTTTTAATACATAGATAAACATGTATAAAGACAGAATTGCCCTTTTAAAATCTTCAACATAACAAAATAAATAATCGATAAAAAAATAATTCCAACATAACTAATATCAACATTACTAATCTATATTACTAATACACAATATTTAGTACTATTCTTATACACCTTACTAGACGACTCCTTAGAGGTTATATCTATAAGCTCTTAAGTTTAAATCAAATATATTTGTATGACTTAAGATAGTTCTAACAATTCTTAATTTAATTAATACTTCCTCCGGTCTCTTTTACTTGTTATATTTAATTTTTGTATGTTTCTTAAAAGAATATTAATAAAAAAAAAATATTTTACTATATATTGCACTAAAAATGTCCGTGGAGAACCCAAGTCCCTAAAGTTCAACTAATCTGAGTCAAAATATGTGTAAAATTATTGATTTGGTCAAGAATGTGAATTGCAGTAATAGGATTTGGTATCCATTTTATGTGGTTTATATGACTTGGTTTTCTACAACATTATTTGAAGGCAATAAAACCACTACTCAACAGTGTAATAATGGGAACGGAATTGTAAATCCTATTACTTTTGAAGCATATTATATATTACAATATGATGCCAAATGAAGAGATCAGATTATAAACGTTTCCACAATAAATCCTAAATTTCATATATTTATAACCATATATATTAAACCTCTTATCCACTCTGATTTCATTTCAAAGCTCCAAGCCCACAACTACTGAGCTTGAAAATGCTTTAAGCATTACCGCAGAAAAAAATTACTTAAATAACAGTAGAAAAATATTTCTGTCGTTCTTTTTTCTTTTCATATGGTAAATAAACCTAGGGCTTATCTTTTGATAATGTCTTTAGCATTGTTTTAATAAATAGTCGAAAAAGTAATCAGAAAAGTCAAGATGGCCGAGTTGGTCTAAGGCGCCAGTTTCAGGTACTGGTCCGAAAGGGCATGGGTTCGAATCCCATTCTTGACAAATATCAATATTTTTAGTATACTTTTGTGACATTACTTAGAAGTTTCAGCAATCGTCCTTCTTTCTTCTTTAAATTTATTGTAGTGCACATATCTATCTAGGAATTTAACGTGAGCCGATTAGAAGACCATGTTAACTTTGTCGATTTTAGTATGGCGTTTAACGGAAAAATATGAAAGTATTTAGTGCAAGAAGCACATCTACCTTGTTTAGAGGCAGAATTATGATTGAAATTTATGGGCTCAAATATCAACCTCAAATTAATACTACAATAATAACGAGTTTATAGTTAAAAAAAATATATATATATTTAGTAAATTTCTTAAAATATATAGAGTTTGGGAAAAAATTATTGAATTCACGTGAACTGATAATCAACACGGTAGATCGGCCATGTACCTTATTTCTCCAAAAAAACTAGTCAAGACTTTGAGGGATATATAGTCCTCAACAGCTAATTGAGCCTATAACATGGCTATTTAGGCTTTGGTCCACGCTAATGGGCCTATGGGCTATGGTAGTTAAGTTTGTTTGGGCTTCTCATGTAGACTTTAAGCCTAAACGAAAGGGATACACCAAAGAGAGACAGAGAAGTAACAAAGAAAAAGGAAAAACTTCATCCTATAGCCGCTCATAAATATAATAGCTGATAAAATATATATTTTTATATTAACTAGTTTCTATGGACGTGTTTCAGACGTAAAAAAAATATCCAACTTAGAAAAGAAAGTTAAAAAGAAGTAAAGCAAGAAAATAAATTTAGAAGCGTACAATACAATAAACATGTTTAGTAGTAAACGATGCTAATTTCATGCAACTTATCTCTTACGAAGATATATTAAAGACATCACTTTTTTAGCTCACTCGTACCATGTATGCTTTATTATCACTGTTATGTTTTAAATTATTTATATGATCAAAGCTAGCAAGGAAGACTTCCGTGGGCATATGAGAATACTTTGAAGATTGAACTATAAGAACTTGTGTATCTAAACATGCCAACAATGTATGTTAGCCTTGCAGTCTATCCACATGCTTTACCGTTCTAGTTTTTTTTTCTTTCTCTCTCACCTATGATATTAAGATTTAAGTATTAATAGATTAAGCTCGATTAATATATCATTTTCTTATTAAAACTAATATTCTTCAATGATTTAAGAAAAGATGAACCAAATTGATATAATTAAAATTTTCTCGTGTTTATGATTCATTATGGTAATTAATGCATGCCTAGTTTAAACTGGTTCTTTTCATACATTTGTTCTTATTTGAAAACTAAATTCTAATTATTCTCATATGTACATTTAAGTAATGACATCTATTTTCAATTCAATTCAAGCAACATTGCAGCTACTTGAAAGTCCCAAGCCCCAACTACAAGGTTGAATGCTTGATTAATTCGTAGAGTTAACAATTTTGTCCTACGATTTACTTTTTATTTATTTTATTAGGAGCCAATTTTAATTCTTAGAAGTTTGTGTCACATGCTCAACGGCTCAATTGGTATGCTAAAATTTTCATTATGTTAATTTATTCATCATACTAAAGCTGGATGTCCTTATAAACTCTTTTAAGTATGTGTAAGAATAATTATTTTATAATTAAATACTTGATAGGTTATGTGTCCTGTTATGTTTTGATGATCTAACAAACTTAAATGTTAAGAACCAGATAGGAAACCCGTTCCATATCCTCAAAGTGCTCAACATCAACAAGTCTCAATTCTGGGACATATTCCAATATTCAGAGTCAAAGAAACAACAGGAACAAATAGATATCAGTTCCCTTGCTGACAGTACCAGTCATCTCCCCACATCTGTAAAGTGGCTGCAACTGTTCCTCTGCGCACAAGCAACGGTGCAAACAGTGGAGCAGTCACTTTATGGGAAATGCCCTTGTACCAAATATGCTTGCATCACTCAATTAATGTCACTTGTGTAATATTAACATGAAGCAAAGGGGAAAACTAAACACTTGCACGTTCCAGATTTGATCAAGCTCTCTCAAAAAGTGTGTCGCGGGCTTGCAAGTGATTTTCAGGCTTCAAGAACAAAGAACAATATAACGAAGGACCAGTTTCCAGTATTGTATCGTCACATGTCCCTAATGGTGTTGTACATTTATTAGTGTGATTTAATTATAATTCCTACTTAGCTTAGCTAGAAGCATTGTGCAGGAAATAAATTATAAAATCATAAACCCTGTGTTCGTGTCTTGACTAGAGTTAGTCGAGTTGTGAACTTTGTAATAGAGTTATTACAAAGAGGCTTGTAATAGAGTTATTAAAAGTGAGTGAGGGATTAAGGTTTTAATTCCTAGGTTACAATAGGTTGTAATCTGAACTTGCTCGGTTAGTGAAGTTGAAATCCTATAAGTGTAGGTCGTGATTTTTAATCCCGCGAGCTTGAAGTTTTTCACGTAAAACTTTGCTGTGTCATTTACTTATCTCTTTGTGTGTGTTCTGTGGGAACCGATAGAGAATCCGTTTCTCTATACAGTTCTGTGGACCCTCAATTTCTATCAATTGGTATAAGAGCAGGTTCTTTCTATCAGGCTAACATCTAGAAATGATCCTCATGGTTGCTCCACCAAACTTTGAAGAAGGTCAATCTACCTACAGACCACCAAGATTCAATGGCCAATACTACGGATGGTGGAAGACAAGGATGCATGATTTTATCATGGCTGAGAATTTAGAGCTCTGGGACGTTATCTACGATGGTTCTTTCGTTCCCATGAAGACCATTGGTGAACCAGCAGTGACAGTTCCCAATACAAGGAAGGAGTACAACGATGCTGATTGCAAGGCTATAGAGAAAAACTTTCGAGCAAAAAAGATCCTCGTCTATGGTATTGGACTAGACGAATACAACATGATTTCTACCTGTCAATCTGCCAAGGAGATCTGGGAATCTCTCTAAACAGCACATGAAGGGACAACTCAAGTCAAGCAGTCGAAAATTGATATGCTAACCACTGAGTATGAACTCTTCAAGATGAAGGATGATGAGTCTATTCAGGACATGCACACTCGCTTCACCTCTATCATCAATGAGCTTCATTCTCTGGGAGAAATCATTCAAAGGAACAAACTTGTCAGGAAAATACTTAGTGTATTACCTGGTTCCTGGGAAAGCAAAGTAAATGCTATCACGGAGGCAAATGATGTACAAAAGCTGACTATTGATGAACTCATTGGTAATCTGAAAACTTATGAAATGAAGAAGAAGAATAAGGATCATGAGAGAAGAGAGAACAAAAGGGAGAAGAACCTGGTCCTCAAGACAGACAACAATGACTCAAGTGGCGAAGATGCTGATATGACTTACCCAACAAAGAGATTTCAGAAGACGGTTTGCAGAAATTGAGGCAGTCCAAAAGGGGCAGCTCCAGCAAGCCAAGAGGGTATGACTTATGTCATAAGTGCGGTAAGCCAAGACATTTTATCAAGGATTGTTCTCTCCTCAAGCAAGATCAGTACAAGCACAACACAGATAAAACAGCCAAAAGGAACCCGGTTCCTGACAAAAGATTCAAGAGAAAAGATGTCACTGACAATATTGTGAAACAAGCTCTTGTTGTATGGGGAGACTCTTCCAGCGAATCTGGAGGAGATGATGAACAAGGTGACAGTT